GGTTATGAAACAGTGCATATGAGTCATCACTGCACTTGTGATTTTTCTGACCACCTACAGTGTGGTAGAAGCAAAATGTTAATGTAAGTCTTGGCTTCCTTTGGGAAGTATCTCTGGTTGGTATGTAACATTATTGCTTACTAAAGAATTGTTCATCGTGAAAACACTAATTTTTAAATCAGAACTATTGATATTGCATAATGAACAAAAAGTTGATAGCCTTGAGGATTTAGGAATTTTTTTTGCATACTAATTTCTGATGCAGGCCAAAGAAAATTTTAAAGTTGTCATGTTGCTGAGGTTATTTTGAGTGACAGAAGTAGATTCTTCCTGGTGGGAGTTATTGAAAGAGTACAAACTTTCTGAAGAATAGTTTTTAAACTATATGAAGAACTTTAAATATATTCATACCTTTTTAGGAATTTATGGTAGCAAAGTAAGCTGAGGTATAGGAAGAATCATCTAATATTTTGGCACAGTGTTATGCATATTAGAGAAATGTGGGGAAAACTTGTGTTCAACATTAGTGGAGTTAAATGAATTATGGTACATCCACATGCCCTCCCTGTGCCCCTTCCACTGTTAGACTTCTAAAGCTGTGCGTGTGGACAAGTGGCCATCAGCTGATATGAACAGCCTGGTTATTTCCTCATGTAAAGCTGGCTTTTGTGCTTCTTACTTTGGCTTGCTCTTGAATACATGTCAATGAAGTCCAATCAGAACAGCAGCCCTAATTTAATTTAATCTCATCCTCACTTTGTACAGGATGCAGTTTCAATAAGACAGAACAAAAATTTAATCATGTAACATGTTCAAGGGTAAAACTAATTTTTGTCAAGGAAGCTGTAGGCGTAGGGTAGCTACCCACCACGGCCTGCTTTTAGTTAGCCACCCCACATAGTCACGTCTCTGGATTTGTGAGGCCCACCGTGCACCTCCCCTGAGCCTCTCCGGCTTCGTGTGAGGCCCCATGTTTGTCCACACACAGCAAGTAGAATCTGGGGCTGGGAACCCAGGACCGGCTTTGTAGGACTAATTCTGGTCGAACCACTTGAGTGTGTGATGTTGGACATGCTGCTTGAATTTGAGACTGTCTTTATCTGTTAATTGGGGACAGTTTTATCCAGCTTGCATTACTGTTTAAGGGTTTTAAGATAAAAGAACAGAAAGTCCTTCAAAAAAAATCTATTACATATTTATATTTTTTATTTTTTATTCTCACCCAAGGATATGTTTTTATTTTTAGAGAGAGAGGAAGGTGGAGAGAGAGGAACATTCATCAGTTGCCTCCCATTCATGCCCCAACCCGGGATTAAACAAACCCACAACCTTCTTTGATGTATGGGACAGTGCTTCACTAACTGTCCTCTCTCTCAAATCAGTCAGTAAAAAAAATTTAAAATTAAATAAAGATCACTCGGGGCGGTAGTTCCTCATTTATAAGTTGACTTAAAATAGATTTCTTCTAACCCTGAAAATTGGGCATTTTAATGGACACATAGGTAGCGACAGGCACTTTAATTCGTAAGTCCTATGCTCTGTTTGTTTACTGTTCTTTATAAACACCCAGTGAATGCTTACCTTCATCGCTTTGGTGATTCTGTTTCCTTTGCCTGAAATTCCCATTTGTTGTCATGTTTCCAGCTCCTACCCATCTTGCAAGTGTAGCTCAAATTCCACATCTTCTAAAAAAGCTTGACCTTATTAGTCCACAGTGAAGTACTTTTCAGTGATGGGATCCCATAGTTTCTTTATTATAATTCCTCCTTATGTACGTGTTCTATTTCCCTTAGGTTGTAAGCAGCAATTAATAACACTACATGTCATGGGTGGCAGTTAAATACTTGGGAGTTTTTTCACTTTTTAACAAAAATCATTTGTTATTTTAGGCAGGTATTTTGTGAGGGTAAAGTAGGGGAAGGAATGGGAAAAAGAAGGAACAAAGTGATGGTGAATGGATCTTAAAGGCAGAAATTAGAAAGGGAGTGAGGGAGAGTAAAAGGAAAAATAAAAAGGTATGAAATGGGTTTTTCTTTGGATTTATTAATCTATGTATATCCTATTTTAGTTTCTGAGTGTCATACAATTTTATGTTTTTCCCTAGGGTATTTGGAGGAATCACTCGGGTTTACTTGATGTGATGGTTTGAAAGCCTGCTATAATCTTTTTTTGTCATTAAAACTTAAAAGACTTCTCAAGGATTTTCTAGTTATTATATAAGTTACTGAAAACTACATTTTTAGCTTTTGAATTTTAATAGCAAAATATGTTATTGTGAAGTGTTGCTACAAAGCCATATTCAATTTGGGGAGAAAAAAGGGACAAGAAAGATATTTGTAGTAATTTCTACCTGGTTGAAAGTTTGGGGAGAATCTGTACATTGGTTTGCTCACCAGATTGTTGAAGCTAACTCGGTCTCTGTTCAGAGTCTAAGCTTTTAAAGGCCTACATAGGTAGTGAGGGGGAGAATAAAAAGGCATGAGACAGATTTTTCTTTGGATTTATTAATCTGTGTATATCCATCCTATTGTAGTTTCTGAGTGTCATAAACTAATTTTTATTTTGTTTTTATTAATTTTGACCATTTATTTTGTGAGAATATTTTTTAGAGATGACTTAAATTGCTCTCCTATGGATAAAACTTAGTCCCTTGTCCAAAAGCAAGTAACAATTTACTTTTGCTAGGCAATAACATGGTCACTAATTTTTTTGCACTATGATACCATAAGGTAAGAAGTGTGTTCCTATTTTATGTTAGTTATGTAGCTTTTAGTGAAAGCAAATACCATTTACTGGGGTGATAAATAGATAGAAAGCTTATTCTGCAGTTTTTTTTTGAAACTACCACTGTCATTTATTTGACAAACCATTTTCTGTAAATAATCAGTATGTTATTTTTCACTGACTTTTTTGACAGCTGGCTCAATTTTCCTTTAAATATTAAATCACTAGTATTGTTGAACACTGTTTAATGGTTTAGATCAGGGTAAGACCAAAAAACATTGTACCTTATAAAAGTAATAACTAATAACTAGCTAGTAAGTTTGGTAGTCAGTATACTCTAGTACAGTGATGGCGAACCTATGACACGCGAACTCATTTTTTTGGTTGATATTTCTTTGTTAGATGGCATTTAAATATATAAAATAAATATAAAAAATATAAATCTTTATTTTACTATGGTTGCAAAGATAAAAAAATTTCTATTTGTGACACGGCACCAGAGTTAAGTTAGGGTTTTTCAAAATGCTGACACCCCAAGCTCAAAAGGTTCGTCATCACTGCTCTAATGGTTAATGGTTTGGAATAAGAGAAACCCATCTCTGCCACTATGTAGTCATGGGAAGTTTCATATGTATGAGCCTCTATTTCCTCGTCTCAAATGGGGATAGAGTCATTTATCTTATCAACAAATAATAAATTTATTGAGCTTCTACTATGTACCTGGAACCATAATGTATTTTGGGTAATAATAGTACCTTCTGTCATAAAATTGTTGGAGGCATTCATTAAATTAGGTAGAATGCATGCTCTGAGAGTTTATAGCACAAAGTGATTGGTAAATGTTAGCTCTTATTTTTAAAATATCGCAAATACATTTTTAGAAGTTCTCTAAGAGCCAAAATTGTTTCAGGGAATACTTATATATCCGGGATATGTCATTAAATTAGGATATGTGTTAGTTTTTTTGTTTGTTTGTTTTTTTAACATTGGCATGAAATTCATATATTTTAAGGTTCACTTTAAAAACTAAAAGTTGTAACATCTTTGAACACAACTATAAATTATATTAAAATCAACTTTAACATTTTAGGATAAACTTTATAGTTGCCATGTATAAATGTATATGCTCTGTGGACCAACTCCATATTCTATTGTTTTTTTAAGGTAGAACTATATGGATCACTAATAATAGGGAAATAATTATATTAAGTAATAACTAAATACATAAATACATGTGGTCAGTCTTATTATCAGGACATATTTGGACAATGAGAAAAGTTTTTTTTTTTTTAATATGTTTTTATTGGTTTTGGAGAGAGAGGGAGCAGAAACATCGATGAGAGAGAACCATCAAGTGGCCCCCTACTGGAGGATGGAGCCCATAACCCTGGCAGTGTGCCCTGGAAAGATGCTCAACCAACTGAGCCATATCAGCCAGCACGAAAAGCTCCTTTCAACAGTATAAAAACACAATTTTAAACATACTTATGCTGTGTGATAGTTTATTTTACAAAAGTAATTATAGGATTTTCCTTTGAAAGTTGTCGTTATACCAATAACCCTGTGAGATCTCCTTTTCTCAGATGAGGAAACAGAATCACAGACAGGTAACGCAGTTTAAGTATTATAGCCAGGATTCAAGAACTTCTGTGCTAACCTTTCCTATCCAATACATAATTTCTGTCTCCCTTAAATTTTACAATCAGGTTAAATATTTGAATAACTAGAGGCCCTGATGCACGAAATTCATGCAAGAGTAGGCCTTCCTTCCCTTGGCTGCCGGCACCGGCTTCCCTCTGGCACTCAGGACCCGGGCTTCCCCTTGCAGCCCCGGCTTCCTCGGAAGGTTGCCCAGTCTAATTAGCATATTACGCTTTTATTATAGATATGTAAATATACTCATAATTTTTTTTTAAAAAGAGCAACATTTTGACACTTGCCTGAACATTTGCTGAGCTCTAATTAATATTGGGTGGTTGTATTAGATTGTGCAGGAGAGTACACCATAACAGATGGTTAGGCATTAGCACAACTAGGAATGGTCATCAAGGTTTTAAAACCTGGTATTAAAAAATATCTGTATTTAAGAATGAATCGTAATTTACTTGTTTTTCAGTGTGGATTCAGTAATACTGGTTTAATTTTGATAAATCGGCACTTAATGCTGTCTTGAGTAGATCAGTTCAGCCTGGGTCAATGAATATTTAATAATGGCTGTAGCTTAAATTCACTAGAATGTTCACATGATTAATTTTTTCTTCTTTTTTCCCCTTTAGTAAAATAAAACAGGGTCTGTTACCTAGCTTGGAAGATTTGCTGTTCTACACAATTGCAGAAGGACAAGAGAAAATACCTGTTCATAAATTTATCACAGTAAGTTTTTATACTTTTCTAAAACTTTAAAAATCAGCAGTACTGAATCAGTAATACAGAAATACTGAAATGTAATCTTAACGGTCATTTGATAGGTAGATTCTGACTGACACTTTCTCATGTTTTCAAATTTTCATTATGCTCATTTCAAGGTAATCAGTGAAAGAAAAAGACTGAGAAACTTATCCAGAAAGTGTGTAGTAGTGACACTAAAATGCCATATACTATATATTCAGGTCCTGGGTAGAAGTGTTTATGTACAGAAATAAAAACTTGTATTGGAATAAGCATATACATTATTTGCACTATATATTTACACACTCTTATTTTTTTAAAAACAGGCACTCAAATCTACAGGATTGCGAACATCTGATCCCAGATTGAGTGTATGGATATGTTAAGATTAACTCTTCAAACAACATCAGATGGTGTCATGCTAGACAAAGATCTTTTTAAAAAGTAAAAATTTCTGCCAAACATTTAATGGTGATTGCTGTGCTATATGGTCATTTTTATTTTATAACAAAATTGCATCATTTAAGGCCAATGCTTCCTGTGTAATTGAAACAAAAAGGAGGGATTTATAAACATTAATTGTTTGAAAAACTTGGTGCACATTAAGGTTTCTTAAGACATTGGGGCTATTGTGTATTTTCTTTGAAACTGATCTAAAGAAATGTAGCCATGGGTGCTTCCAATGGGTAGTACCTGGGGATTACATTCACTTTACATAGAGCCTCCTCTTTGTCCTGCCATGGCTTCCATTGATCTCCACTTCCTCCGATTGTCTTACGGCTGTCTCAGCATGGTCTCTGCTTTCTTCTCACAAGGTGACTTAGAGGACATCATAAAATGAGAAGGCTTCAGACAGCCAGTATTCCTAAGGCTTACAGTTCTTCTCTGTTCCTTTCCTCTCTTTAGATGTATTCATACATAGGCTTTTATCTGTTTTCATTTTCCTCACATATTTAGAAACTAAAGATAACTTTGGAGATTAATGCCTCCATTTGGTAGATTGAGAATATTTTTTGCTTCCCTATACATATCTATTTATTACTTATCTTCATTAATGTGTTCCTGCTAGTCTGGTTACTTAATGATTTAATGGACAGCATGGTTGTAATGGGTCCCAAAGAGGTAAATGATATTTTAAACTAATAAAGTGGAAAGTAGTATAAACTTGTCAACACTACTGTAAGATGGCTTTTTTTCAGACCATAGGTTTAGGTTGAAATAGATCCCAAAGAATTCCAGTGTCGACCTTGAAAATGTATTTGTATGTGTATATGTATTTATCTTTTATTTTCTTATGGGGATTGGATGATTTGTTCTAGATATCGCCTGGGAATATCCTGGAGTTTTAAGTTATCTAAAGGTGTAAGAATTTTTAACTGAGATCCTTCAGAGTTTCCTGGCATGCTGTAAAGCGTTGCTGACAGTTTGGGATTATCTTTCACCACGAGGTTCATGATTCTGTTAATCCAGCTGACCTAGTAAAGCCTAGACTTTAAGGTCCGTATTGGAATTGGTGTTAGGAATTTCGAGTTTTCAAAACCTGTTTCTTTGTGGAGAGAAGGAGGTAATTTCTGATTAGCTATACCTTTGCAGTAAGGATTGTTTTGTTAGCGTTCATAAGCTCTCACCTTTGATTATGGAGTTACTTCGGCATATCTGAGAATGAAGTTGTCAGAGAGATGGTAGGTAGACCTGTTGATAATAGCAATGAGAATATGCCTTGAAATTTTAAGTGAAAGCAGCAATTCACACTTTAGTACTGTTTAAATTTTTTTGTGCTCAATAAACATGTTGCTATGCTTTAATCTGAAATTAAAAGTAATTTAAGTACATTGATTATAAATCTAGGAAACATAATTATAAAATTTCCTAGCCATAATTATATAAAAAACAACCACCATTATTTTAAACACTAATCCAGTCATTTAATAAAATTGATTATTGTAATACAGGCAGTTCCCAATGGGACAAATGTGTACTAGTATGTAAGCAGGCAGAAAAGCCTTAAATCTGTAGGCATAAGGGTTGATCTTTCAAGCCCTAGAACAATGGTTCTCAACCTTCTGGCCCTTTAAATACAGTTCCTCATGTGACCCAACCATAAAATTATTTTCCTTGCTACTTCATAACTAATGTTGCTACTGTGATGAATCGTAATGTAAATATCTGATAGGCAGGATGGTCTTAGACAACCCTTGTGAAAGGGTTGTTCAACTGCTAAAGGGGTTGCGACCCACAGGTTGAGAACCGTTGCCCTAGAATGAGTTGATTTAAAAGTGCTGAAAATTAATCTTTTCAAAATAAGTTTTCTAGTTAGTGTTGCCAGAAATAAAACTATTTCACCTCCATGCAGGTGGGAATGAGATGGTATAGTGGAATTCATTTCCCCAGAAAAATAAAGATTTTATTGAAAATAATTTCAATGAAAATACGTTTTTGGTTAGTATATTAAGCCTTTGAGGATAATCTGAGAAGCACCTATTTATGACTTTTTTAAAAATTGATTTCAGAGAAGAATGGAGAGGGAGAGAGATAGGAACATCAGTGATGTGAGAGTCATCGATCTGCTGCCTACTGCACACTCCACCCTGGGGATTAAGCCTGAAACCCAGACATGTGCCCTGACTGGGATTCAAACCGTGATCTCCTGATTTATAGGACAGTGCTCAATCACTGAGCTGTGCTGGCAGGCTGACTCTTTTTTTGTTTGTTTGTTTTTTAAATATATTTTATTGATTTTTTTACAGAGAGGAAGGGAGAGAGGTAGAGAGTTAGAAACATCGATGAGAGAGAAACATCGATCAGCCGCCTCCTGCCCCCCCCCCCCCCCCCCCCACTGGGGATGTGCCCGCAACTAAGGTACATGCCCTTGACCAGAATCAAACCTGAGACCCTTCAGTCCGCAGGCTGACGCTCTATCCACTGAGCCAAACCGGCTACAGCAGGCTGACATTTTTTTGAAAAATGGGAAAATGAATTCTGAGCATATTGTTTGGAGCATAATCTATTTGAAAGTTGGAGACTGCCTGTTAGTCAATTATTTTTAATGCTAATAACCTTAAAATTAATAGAAGTAGGAAATTTATGTGGAAAATGAATGCCATATTTATTCATGCATTTTTAACCATATGAGTATTAGAATTTTATGTGTAATCACAATTTTTGGTCTTTTCTCTTTTGGGGGAAAATGAATGGTAATCTTTGCATTTGTATAATGTTTTAATTTTCTTTAAAAACAGGGTTATTTTACTTTTGTAAAATATTGACATACATTACAGTTGTTAATAATAAACACTTAAGAAGGAAAGAAAAGTGATTATTATTCCCAGTTTGCAGATGAGAAGACTGAACAAAGCATGAGAAAGATGTGACCTGCTGAAATACATAAGGACTTCCTCCTCAGAGTTCATTTTTTATGACTTCTAATTATAGATTCATTCCATCTATATTAAAATAACTCCCAAGAAAATATTTGCTATTTGGAATCTCATCCGTACACAATTAGGCACACTTCTGAGTTTAAAATTGCTTCTGTTGGCCACAGAATTCACCAGTTAAGGCTGCTACCATTGCTTTACCAGCACTTTCTTATAAAGAAAAAAAAAATTCCTACTTTACTGACTGTACAATTTCGTTAATTATAAAGCCTTTTAAAAGTGCTGATAATTTTAAATAGTTAAGTAGTTGGTAGTAGGTTAATAATTTAAATTTGTTTGGCAGTTCTCATTTTCTCATGCATAATTTCTTAAAAATAAGGATGTGTATTTGTTTTGATGCAGATACAGCGATTTAAGATCAGGAATTGTCTTAACTTTTCTGCAGAGTAATGTACTCAGTATATGTCTTGCAACTCTTATGTACAAATTGAATTGCTATTTGAAATATATTGGTTGTTATAAATGAATGCCAAAATTTAATTTTTAGATTAACATTAAGAAGGTATCAAAAAAATTTATCAAATTTACTGAAGCAAATACTTGTTATCTCTGGAGTAGCAATTATTTATACATCTATAGGTTAATAATGGAAAAATAGGACTAATTTATGTTCTGCCCGGGGCACATCATTATCACTGAAAACAACTTATTTTGTTTTATATTGTTTTAATCTTATGTTGATCAAGTGAGTATATATTCTGAATTTTTATTAATAGTTAAAAGTGAGTAGAATAATGTAATTGTTTTGGTGATCCAAATATAAATTTAATTATACTACATTATATAATTTCATTTAAAATCATTATTTTTACAAGCATTTTAATGTTATTTAAGAGACATTAATCTGACTAAACAAAGTTGATTTTATCTCCATTTTTTTAGCTTAGAAATGCAAATTTTTCAAAATGTAATTCAGGAAAAATACGTTAAAACACAAACTTCAGCTTTTTGGAAATACTAGTAATACTTTTATAGGAACTAAGATTAAAGTTTAATTTTTGTTACCTAAATGCCATGTTTAAAATCGTTTTATTCATTTTTAGAGAGAGGTGGAGAGAGAGAACGTGGATGTGAGAGCGAAACACCAATTAGCTGCCTGATGCATGCCCCCCACCAGAGACTGAGCCTGCAGCCAGGCACCCCCAGCTCTGGTGCCTGAGATAATGCCCAACCAACTGCGCCACACTGGCCAGGGCTAAAAACTTGTTTTTAGATGTTCTTGATACTTAACCTGATGGAATATTCTGTTTTAATCTTTGATATATTTTTTTTGGCAATCTAATTTATTTTGTTAACTTGTTCAACAGATTATAAGCAACTACATGAAAGGCTGCTTAAAGGAAAGAAACTGTAGAAAGAATATTATTTCTAGAATTTAGTTTGTTGTATAAAATGATTAATTTCTCTATTGTTTAAATATTCTCCTAATGTTATTACCAAGTACTCATATTTGAAGGGCATTCAGTCGACTAATTTTTTTTCTCACATTCCACAGATGTGTTCAGAGCAACATTGTTTTGTTGACGCAAGCCTTTCGAAGAAAGTTTGTCATTCCTGACTTTATGTCTTTTACTTCTCATATCGATGAGTTGTATGAAAGCGCTAAAAAGCAGTCTGGAGGAAAGGTAACATTTTTAATGTGAATATTTTCCTAAACCAATCACTTAATAAATTCAACTCAACTTGAGGTATAGAGAGTAAAATTGTGTAGTTTTCTTATGTTTTGCTAATTAAGAAATTTAAGTTAAATGAAGCCATTGGATAAAGTACTTTTAACATTTTAAATATTTGAGTTTGTTATTTTGGCTAACAAGTTTACAAACTCTTGATTTTCAAATGATTGAGATGGCTTTAAATCTCTAATAAAAAGTAACTTTACTGGGAATTTCTGCAGATATGATATTCTCAAACATTAAATATTTTTAGTTTTAAAAATCCTCTAAATAAAACTAAGGGTTATTTAATTTATTTCTTCTCCATATTGAAAGATTTTAGACAATGAAACCCTACTGGTATGACCCTGATTAAAGAAATTCTCTATTTCTTTTCCTTATTAAACATACTCAAATTCTAATTCCTCTTTTAGACTCTGTTCTTTCCTAGGAAGAGAGAGTGCTTTGGAAAACAGGATGGTGGAGACAGATTTCACCTATAATTCTCAAATCTGTTGTGCCCTTAGTTATTATGAATATTGTCATAAAAGACTACAAAGCCACCAAGTGCTATAAAATAAGTATTCATTGGTGGAAACTAAATTGAGATAAAATTTTTGGTAGACGAAAGTATTATTTTCTTGTATTAAATCTGTTAATTTCTAATATTTTGATTAGGTTGCAGACTATATTCCTCAACTAGCCAAGTTCAGTCCTGATTTGTGGGGTGTATCGGTTTGTACAGTTGATGGACAGAGGTAAGTTTATTTCAATCCATGAAAACCAGTCATTTGTGAAGTATGAGGTCAGTTGCAAAACATGCAGGATTTCATGAAGTTTATGAAAGTTGTCTTTGGGAAATGCTTACACTACAGGCACAGGCACTGACAGACGAGGGTCTAGCACAATTATAGAAAGGATACTGATGTGAGGTTACTTCAAAGAGAATGATTTGATTTTAAAAACCAGTGAATTAAGGAGAGGCCCTTGGAAAAATGGATGAAGTCTGCAATATTTTTTTTTTGTCAGTTAAAAAGAAAAAACTTTTTTTTATTTAAGGGCTTAGCTCAGAGGTATCACCCAAGGTAATTCTTTTTTAAATTAAAATATAACATAAAATAAGATATGCAACACCTAAGTGTATACAACTTTATTTATAGCATAGATGTAATTTACCCTAGATTTTGTGAAAACTAACAGGTCATTTAGCCTTATAATTTTAGGTTATTTCTAAGAAAATGTCCAATTAAAGCTTTCATTCCCCATTTGTTAAATTCTGGTATGAAGTGCCTTTATTCTAATCTTTTCATTATTTCTTCTTATTTTCCTCAAGTATTTATAATAAAAAAACATTCAGTTTAGTGTATTCATTTTTGAGATAAGGAATCTCAAGCCCAGAGATCATATAATACTGGAAGAATTGAAATTAGAACCTAGGTCTCTTAACTTATAGTGCATTTGACTAAATGTTCATCTAGTCTATTAACATTTTATCCTCATCTGGGCCTGTAAAATATACTAAAATGCCATGAAAGGACACAAATCCAGAAAACATGTGGTTTTATCCTGATAGAGCACATTCCAATAGGCAGTAAGGAAATGGTTTATCATGTAATGGAAATGTTTATATTTGGAGAAAATCATTACTATGTAATGCTTGCACATGGCTTTTCTCTTACACATTGTGTATAGAGGTGATTCTTTTAGTTTAGTTTTCTTATCTAGAGAATTTTAAAAGACAACTTTGGACTGTTTTTGTTTTTATTTATCCTCATCCAAGGATATTTTTCCATAGTTTTTTTTCTTTTCCTTTTTTTTTTTTTTTTTTAGTGAGAGAGAGTGGAAGGCAGGGAGAGGGAGGGGGAGGGAGGAAGGGAGAAAGAGAGACGTCCGTGTGAGAGAGACACATCTATTGGTTGCCTTCTGCTTGTGAGCCTGCAACCATAGTATGTGCCCTTGACCGGAATCTATATATGTAAAAGCCTAAGGAACCATTTTGACTGGTCACTGTAATGTGCACTGACCACCAGGCGGCAGATGCTCAAGGGAGGAGCTGCCCCCTGGTAACAGTGCACTCCCACAGCCAACGCTCTGTGACTGGCTAACCTCCCGCGATCTCTCCCCCAGGCCGGATGGCCCCTGTAAGCCTTGATCGCCGGCCAGGCCTAGGGACACCACCTGTGTACGAATTCGTGCACTGGCCTCTAGTCAAATATAATGCAAATATCTCTCTGTTCTTAACACATTGTGTACCACATAGAAATCTCTAAGACATACGCCAGGGACCGCACGTTTTTGGGCAAACTGCACGTTATTTAAATCCTCATAATGCACTTTAGGTGTTGTTTTTCAATAATTATAACATTTTTATTTACAAAAACAAACAATTAAAGTTCCTAGTACTTTTTTAACGTATGGTACAGCGTAAAACATTTCCCTCTATGAAGAGGGACCAAACAAAATTTACATAAGTATCTAGATTCGCTCCTTTTTCCACGGGCGTGAAAAACGAGAACACTCGTGAGCGGTCCTTACAGATGGCGCACGAAACACGAGAAAACTCCTGAGCGGTACGAAATGTGTTAAGCTTACATTATAATGGCGTCAGTAAGGATTTTTCTATTTTTAAACCTATTCTCTACTTCATGAGAAGACCAGTTGGGTAATATATGAAGTTTTTGTTCTGTTCTTATCTACATGGTGATAACTGATAACTATTAGTGCTAGCTATACTGGATGCCATATATAATGGTGCTGGAATTGTAAGTAGATATGGTTGACAAGATGAAGCATTTATTGATAGTGTCTCAGAGAATGGTATTGAGTCTAAATTGTGCTCCATTTAAAAATTAACCATGGTTTAGCTGTGATTAAGGCTATGAGTAAAAAAAAACAAGGTGACTAATTTCTAAAAGGGCTAAGTGATTTTATATGATTGAGTACAGGTTGGAATAAGGAGGGCCGTACCCGCTTGCCCTGAGGAAAAAATTTACATTATTTAATTATCTAATTTGGAATTATTTTATTGCCCAAGTACTTTTAAGGCTTGGCTTTATTTGCACTATTCCTCTTAAAATAAACATACTTACATTTATTTTTTAATATCTAGGTAAATTTGTGGTTGAATTATAGGGAAACCGTTGCAAATTAGCATTACCATGTAAATATAACACCAATGATTCCAGTTTATTCTAAGTATTATTTAATCTTCCTTTAAATAGGCATTCTATTGGGGATACCAAAGTTCCATTTTGTCTTCAGTCCTGTGTAAAACCTTTGAAATATGCCATTGCGGTTAATGACCTTGGAACAGAATATGTGCATCGCTATGTTGGGAAAGAGCCAAGTGGATTAAGATTCAACAAACTGTTTTTAAATGAAGATGGTAAGAATTATATAAAAGTTGGTCAGAAAAAAGATACCTTTCCTATGTAAACTTAAGTGGGTCTTTTTTTGGAGGGGGAACATTAAAAGCATTCATACTTCATTTTTCATAGAATTCTGTGAAACCAGTGGAGATGTTTTCATAACCTACTTTTTTAAATGGTTATTTTAGGCATCTCATACCACTGGAAAGTGGAATAAGGAGAAGATAATAGGGGTGGGGGCAGGATAAGATTTTTACTTTATAATCACATAGGGGAATAGCTTATAGTAAAATCTCACTATCTGGAATTTGCTTTCAGAGAATTCATGGAGTGTAGCTGAGAGTGCTAGGTGTGACTTCCTGTATGTTGGTAATTGTTAAAGCTAAAGGATAGCTATACATGGGTGTTTATATTTCTGCTTTTGTATATTGTATTAGGGGCCCAGTGCATGAATTTATGCACCTTGAAAGGAACTGTGGGCCGAGAGGCTGCAGTGGGCACAGGGGCGGGTATTGGCCAATCCTCCACACCCCTGCCTGGGCCCTCCCATCGCAGTCCCCTGTCTGCAGGCAGCCCCCATGGGCTGATGGTGCCAGCCCTACTCGCACCCACTGCTGGCACGGGGCTGGCGCTGTCAGCAGTACAAGCAGCGGTTCATGCCCCAGTCACCCCTCAGGAGCCAGGGGGAGGTGAAGAAACCCTCAGCGGGTGCGAGAGCCAGGCGGGACTGTGCACACGGGAGCAAAGAATTTTCAGTAACCACCAGAGGCTCGACCCAATAACAGCAACCGGTGCCCCACCTTGTTCTGGCACCCCTACTCACCTGCTCCATCTGCCATGGCCGATGCCCACCATGTTCCGCGCACGCCCATTGGTGGTCAGCACATGTCATAGCGACCAGTTGTTCTGCCGTTCGGTCTATTTGCATATTACTCTTTTATTATATAGGATAGGATATATTTGAACTTCCATAATAAGTTTTAAGTGGTGGCCCTGCTTGAGATAGTGTTTTTGCTTTTTCTGTTTTGTAACATTTAATATTTGAAAGAAACATTTTGCATTAAATAGTTAGACAACTAACAAGCCTTATTACTTTACAGGGATCCAAAAGAAAAGGGAAGACAAAGGTAGTTAGTACTTTTGATCTGATAGCAGTTGGTGTTTTAAATCTACATATCAACCTATAGATTTGTGTGTTTTTTTTAATGTTTCAGGCACATGCTAGGTTCCTCATTGTGTAAGTTAAGATAATTGAAGAAAGCAAGAGTGAAGGAATTCAGTAGTTGCAATAATGGTTTCGAGAAATACTTTTGTATTTTTTCTTTATTTTGGATAAAAATGAAATGTGGTTTATAGTCATTGTTTTGTTAGTGAAGTTAGAGGGTATTTTCTCATGTTTCTTTTCCTAATTATTTTGGGAATGACTACATATTATTCTTTTATTATAATCTTTCTAATGTGATGCTACGTTTGACTATGGATATTACCATAAACTCATAACTTCAGTAAGAACAGTACATGCAGACGTACTTTATTTATTTATTAAACTCACTGAAATCAAGGTTTAATGTGGAAAAAAAGATTTAATATGGGAAGAACAAATATTTTTGTTCTAGCAAGTTAAACATTTTACAAGAAAAACTTAATATTTTTCTATGTAATGTAAAATAGAGTAATCTAGGAAGTTCTGGTGAATTGACTGGTGGTGGTTTTTTAATCCTCACTTGAGGAATTGCTTTTGTTGATTTTTTTCGAGAGAGGCAGGGAGAGAGAGAAAAATTGATTGGCTGCCTCCTGTACATGCATGGGGCCTCAGGGAATCACCAGGGCTGGGTGAACAGTGATTGTCAGGTTGATGGGACTCAGAGAGAGTGCCTTTCTGCACCTGCATCAGGAGGGCTCAGCAGTGAAAGCATGGCCTCTGCCAGCTCTTGTGTCTGTGAGAAAGCTGCCCCTCCAGTCCTTGGCTCAAAGCCAGACAACTCAGTTCCTCCCTGTATGTATGTCCCTGGTGCCTTATAGGCTGCTGCCCCTGCCCTGGGGCTCAGAGGGAGTGAGTCCAAATAAGTCCACATCCAGGCCCTTTAATAGGAGTGCCTGAGACTCTAGCAGCCCTCCATCTTAACTTAATTCCTGCTGGTTTTCACAGCCAGAAGTTATAGGGGTTTCTCTTCCTGGCACTGGAACCCTGGGCTGGGAGCTTGGTGTGCATCGATACGTTGGGAAAGAGCCAAGTGTGGGTGCCGGGCGGGACCCCTCAATTTTCAGGGGGCCTCTGAGCTGCAAGTTTCCCCTCCTAATTTTTAACCTACACACGTGGGTGTGAGACTAGCCTGTTCAAATCTCTGCCCCTCCTACCAATCTCCATTTGGCAGCTTTATGTCCTTAATTATAGGACTTCTGGTCAGTCAGAGCTCATGCCATTCTCAGTAATGGCTGTACTGTAGTTTAGTTTTAATTTTGATGTGATCTTTGGAGGATGACAGTACCATCTTTACCTATTCTATCTTGACTGGAGTCCTCTATTTAAGCGTTATGACTTGCTGGGGTGCTGGTGCTATTGTTATCCTAGTTTACAGATGGGAAAACATGCACAGTGAAGATCAGTTAGTTGTCCATAGTCAAATAGCTAGTAAATGGCAGAATTAGAAAATTTGGATGCACTCTTAACACATTGTATGCGGGAAACGTATTTATACGTTTTACTTATACGTTTTACGTTGACTGGTAGTAGAGCGCAGGACACGTATTAATACGTTTTTTATAGACTAGCGGTAGAATGCGGGTAACATATAAATACGTAAACTAAAGTTATCGCAATTTTACTGAACGTTGCCATTTGTGCAAAAAATTAGCAAAAATGGCCCGCGCCACCTGTTAGCGCACGATAAAAACTACCCGCAAACAATGTGTTAACACTACTAAGCACTGCCTTCTGTACATGAATTTTTGTTCACGTATACAATTATTACTAGAGGCCCGGTGCACGAAATTCATGCACTTGGGGGCGGGGGGGGTCCCTCAGCCCGGCCTGCGCCCTCTCACAGTCTGGGAACCCTCGGGGGAATGTCGCAACTGATGGCTGGAACAGGCCTAAGCCAGCAGTTGGACATTCTTAGCTCTGCCACGGAGGCGGGAGAGGCTCCTGCACCTCTGCTGCGCTCACTAGCTGTGAGCCCAGCTCAGGACTTCTGGCTAAGCGGCGCTCCCCCATGGGAGCGCACTGACCACCAGGGGGCAGCTCCGGTGCTTAGCATCTGCCCTCTGGTGGTCAGTGCATGTCATAGCGACTGGTCGTTCCACAGTTTGGTCAATTTGCATCATCTCGGATAGCAGCTTCCTGGAGGTGCATTACTGGTTTGATATGTAAGTGATTTTTAAGTGCATTCCTTCATACTCCCCACCACCCCCCAAAAAACTGTGACAGTGGCTTACATGAAGAAATAGGTACATGTTCATGGGGAAAAAACTATGCGTCACAGAAAATGATATCAGATATTCGAAATAATGCTGTTGCTTTTTTGTGTTACAGATAAGCCACATAATCCTATGGTAAATGCTGGAGCAATTGTTGTGACTTCATTAATAAAGGTAAAATGGTGACATTTCCTTTTTACCTAGTACATCTTTTTAATAACTAAAGCATAAATGTGAATTTTGGATTATTTATGTAGAACTATAAAAAGTTTTCTTTTGGTGTTAAATTACTCTTTTGGTATAAAATTAGGATATCTATTAATGTAAAAATAAATGATATAATTTCAAAACAGATGACTCATTGTAAATTTCAACAGTTGTGCTTGATCTGAAGAGCTGGCAAAAATTCAAAAAGTCTCTGCTGAACAATAGGCACAAGTTTTTCTTCTTAAAGTTTTGATTTTTTTTTTTTCTGTTCCTTTTGGCTCTTTTAAAATGCACAGATGTAAACAGTTAAAAACATTTTATTGTTTAATGTTTGTCATCAACATATGTAGGAACAAATGTTCTGGTACTTTGTGTTAAGACAAAGTACATTTACCCTTGAATATTCTCAAGTCTTTGACATTTTCATGAACTTTAATTATGATTTTCATTTAAACTTGTTTTATTTGGTTTACTTCAATCATGTTAGTATAATAACTAAAATAATTAAGACTTAATTCCAATTATTAAGTTACATTATTTTTTATGCTTTGGTTTGCATTGTATGTTTTAATTAAAAAAATTTTTCAGTGTCTGGTTTGCCTTAATAATTGGAAGCTCTAATGTGATGTTTGAAATTGGTATTTGAAAATAGTTCTGTTGTGTGGTATTATTTAGATTTTATTATCTACTAGTTATAGTCAAATAAGTTTCATTTGTGTTTGGAACATTTATGTGCTGTCTTAGTAAATCTGTGCTGTGTGTTCCGAGCTTGAAAAAGTAAATGTATGGCTTTGTAGGTAGGTGTGTGACTGAGGATGGGATATCTTGGCTAGACAAAGAATGTTTGAATATCAATTATGCTCTTGGCCCAATTAATGAAAATTCATCTACCTTGTATGCTAGAAATCCTGTTTCATGAATTTTATATGCTCATGAGAAGAGGCCTTTAAATTAGAAGACTAATCTTAAGAATATGTATATCTATTGACCCACTCAATCCTTGTAACTCTAATGACGTAGGTAATATAACCAAGTGTTATTTTTATGTAACTAATTCAGTAAGCTCTGGAAATTTTCATTTTGTCCATTATAGCATCTAGTTATTTATGACTGTTTTGCATAAGAGAAAAGTTGTCAGTTTGAGGCGAAAAGAAACTTTGTCTCTTCTAGAAAATTATAATATGAATATAGCTAGGCACAGCCCTGCCTTCAGGTGGCTTACATTATAGTGTGGAGTATACACAAGTAAATGGGCCCTTACCATGCAGTGCAATAAACACTGCAATGAGAGAAAAGTCTCATTAATAATTGTTAGATTTGAATAAGTAACTTGAATTAGAGGTGAGCAAATTTATAATAATACATTGTATGTGTTAATAGTGTTTAATGAAAAAACAAGAAGGGTTCTGAACCTTTTGTGGATCTTCCCAGAAAAAACGTTCACATACCATGATTTTATGTAACTTTTTGGGAGTTCACAGACCCTTTGAAGCTGATCCATGGATCCTAGTTTGAGCTCATATGCTGGAGAAAGATTCATGTGGCACAACAATAGTATCAAGAAAGGGCATATGCAATGCCTTCCTTAACTGCATTCGCCTTCTGTTTAATGATTCCTGGGTTTAACATACCACACTGCAAGGCTGCGTGTGGGAAATTCATGTCTGGTCATACCATACCGTCACTTCATTAGTTTCACTTACCATGTTCATTCACAGCCATTAAGCCATATTAATGTGAGCACTTAGAAACAGAGTTAAAACACAAATACACAAGTGTGGTTCAGCGTCCAACAGAGCAAAAATTTAACTGAGTCATCTTGTATTTACAAATTTGATCATGATTTTAAATTTACAAAAGTTTAAATTTACTGGAAATGAAGCTTTAGGGTATGGTTTATATTTAAGGTCACTTTAAATTTTTATTTTTATTGTTTTTCAGAAGGTGTTTCACAAGGGGTTTTTTTGTTGTCTTTTTAAATGACCTTTATCTAAATCTAGAGGTACATCAGGGGTAAGCTTGGTGTACCTCTAAAACTCACTGCCCCAGTATATAATAGTCTTCAAAAAAGAATTGAAAACTCTTATATTAATTGTATGTAATCTCTACAAGTTATATGATCATGTAATGTTTATGAGTTGGTCATTGAAATTGGGGTGAGAAAACCATAGCCGAAAGGTTCTTCAAGCCCAGCCCTCTTACTTTAATATGTGCAGTGAAGAAATCCCATGGCTTTTAACTGCAGCAGGATCGGGCTTGAGCTAAATCTCCTGATTTTTCTGTTTGCTGTTTCTGTTAATTTCATCTTTGACTTTACCTACCACAGTTATATTGTCCAAGAAGCAGAAATTTTATTTTCTGAATTTTAATTTATACAAAAGATACAAATTTACTGGCTTAAAAGTCACGTCTGATTTTCAGTGGTGCATGGTCATTCTTAAGACAGTAGCGGGTGCTCACTACCTATAGACCTAGGCCTTTGCTCAAGGAGCACCCAGAGCTTGGGTATTTTATCATGGCTACGAGATAGGATTCTCTCTTTTAGCTTTTCGTTAATGTCTTTCAAGCTATGTTTTTTCCTTTCAAATTCAAAACTTTATTATGGTGCTATTAAAATAGTCTCTTCACGTTACTTCCGTTCACACACACACACACACACACTAAGTAGAGTCTTTAGTAAGACTCTTTATTTCATAATTTTGTAGTATTGATATTTTTTCCTTGTAGGATTGGTGGTGATCCTCAGGAAATGGGGCAAGAGGCAGAACAAGTGTTCAAAGGATTAGCAGATTGTGGAGAAAAGGAGGATTTGGACAGAAGGAACCTGTTGCATAAATTCTTACCTACTAAACTTGTAGGAAACCGCCAATATTTAACATTTTAAACAAAGCTATATAGGTAAATACCTTCATAAAAGAAATGTCATTTTGTACATAAAAAAAACCAACATAAAACATAAAGGTACTACCTCTCTTTTTCTCTATGGTAGCTATTAAATTTAAAGGAATACTTTCTGATGTAGTTTTATTGGATGATGATGATGATGTGATCATTTGATTTAAAGAGGAAAAATAAATTTGAAAGGAGCACTGTTATTCTGGGTGGAATAGTAGTATTCGTATGTAATTTTTTTCTTTCCAGTGGTAAAACTTTTCATGTAGCTGTAGTTTGAAAGTTAAGCCTGATAATAACTTGAGGGTTAGGGCATGAAAAATGAGGATAACATATTACAAGATTATTGCCACACTTCTGCTTTTTTATCTTAAAAGATTTACATTGTCTTCTTTGCTTATGTATCTATTCTAGTGGTAGTTTCCAGTGTTTGTCATTTGAAGAAGCTGTTTTTTAATATCAGAAGTATTTTTTAATTTAAAAAATCAGAAGTTTGTTTCCCTTCTTTCTCTTAAAATGAGTTAATCATGCTCCATGAAAATCTGCCTGTTGTGATGCTCGGTTTGGTTATGTCGGCAGTAACCTGTCAGGCTGGCTGGGAAGCCACATTTTTAAGGCGGTTTGTGGTTCTGGGAGCAATCGATGATGCCTTGGACTTGCTGACATGCATAAGAAAGGGTTGTATGGGTTTATTACTTCATGTTTATATCAGTTGGTGTATTTGAGGTTTCTTTTAAATGAAAAATAATTTATTGCCAAACAATTCACTTTTTTGTTGCTTTATTTTTAAGCAAATTTATTGGTTTAAAAGTCACATCTGATTTTCAGTGGTGCATAATCATTCTTGAGATAGTAGTGGCTGCTCACTACCTGTAGGCCTCGGCCTTTGCTCAGGGAGCACCCAGAGCTTGGGTATTTTATCACGGCTACAAGATAGGATTCTCTTTTTTAGCTTTTAGTTAATGTCCTTCAAGCTATGTTTTTTAATCTATGAAAAAACTAGTTTTAGAACATTATTTTTTATCTGTAATACCTATTAAAATACTCCAAGTAGTTAGCTTTTAAAGCATTCTCTTTAAAGCAAGATTAAACTTGGGAGTATTTTATAAAATTTTCAGTTACTTTGTTTTGCCTTACTTCTAGGCGTCTTTTCTCTAAGATCTATAATTGTCAGTTGGCTTTTATATCTCCATATTTTATGGACGGAATCAAGTTATTTGTATACAAAAGAACAGATTAATGCAGTGACTTTGTCATTTTTATATTAAATTTATTTCTGTTAACAGTGATATTTTCACCTGTTAAATTGTATAATACATGGTTCAATTCATGAGTATTTTGTAAAAACAGGTTGTAAAACCACTCTAGTAATACATTTTATCAGCCAGTGTTGAAAGTCACTGCCTCTTTATCAAATTTTCATTCATAAAGTTTTCTTTAAAGGAATGTAGATTCTTTAATATCTTTGATAGGTATGTTTATAGAAAAATAAATATATATAATTTTGTAATCTCGGTCTGATTACTGCCTTTTCAAACAAGCCATGTGGTTTGCTTTTTAAACATATTTTTTATTGATTTTTTACAGAGAGGAAGGGAGAGGGATAGAGAGTTAGAAACATCGATGAGAGAGAAACATCGATCAGCTGCCTCCAGCACGCCCCCCACTGGGGATGTGCCCGCAACCCAGGTACATGCCCTTGACCGGAATCGAACCTGGGACCTTTCAGTCCGCAAGCCGACGCTCTATCCACTGAGCCAAACCGGTTTCGGCAGGTTTGCTTTTTAAAAGTCATTTGGTCATCCCTGGCTGGTTTTGCTCAGTGGATAGAGCGTCGTCCTGCAGGTCCCAGGTTTAATTCCTGGTCAGGGCACATGCCCAGACTGCGGGCTTGATCCCCAGTGTGGGGTGTGCAGGAGGCAGCGGATCCACGATTCTCTCTCATCATTGATGTTTCTCTCTCTCCCTCTCCCTCCCTCTCTGAAATCAATAAAAACATTTTTTTTAAAAAGTCATTTGATCAGTGGATTAGAAATTTAGTGAGTATATTTTATCCAGCTTATTTTTTTTAAAGTTTTCCTGCTATACTTAATGTAACTTTTAAAGATTAAAATAATGCGATATATAATAATGCTGCAGTGATTTAAAACTGGAATAAACATACTTCTGGTCATAGGGTTTTTTCCCCCCAAGAATAAAAGGCTAAAAAGAATAAAAGTATTAATAGCTTTAGATTATCAGTTTTCAAATCTCAGTTTTTATATATGCTTTTTTAGAAGTTAATCTGCCTTTAATCCGGGTTTCCTCCCACTTCCCAAAAGAAAGGTATACTTCTCATGTGTCCCAAATTTTACCATGGTGCACTGCTTCCGGTTCTGAAAACCTGTGGGCCACCAACAAAAGAGGACATTTGAAACAGTGGAGTCAGTGGTAGTGAGGATGTGAAGCACTGTAGTGACTGGGAGCAGGTCCTCTTATAATACCAGGTTGTTTCTAGTTCTTTGGTTTCAGCAGAATAGAAAGAGGATCTAATCGCGGTCTTAGTTTTTGTAGCAGCAATAAGCATAATTTTTGAGGATTACTGTGACTTCTGTATGTAATGAGATAGATGTGTAAAATACTGTGACATTGCTTTTAAACCTTTTCTATTTCTATCTTCTCATCTGTTGTCAGTGATATTTCTCAACTTGTGCATTTGTAAAAATTTAAAATAGTGAAAGAATTAAACTCATTCTAGTAATAGAAAATATCCACTGATACATGAACTAATTAAAAATCAAATATTGTTTTAAGGGTAAAGAAAATATTCTCAAGGACGAATTTTGTAAATTAATATGAGAAATTATTAGCAAATAGACGTTTTCCCTTTAATATTTAATGAGAATCTTCAGACATACACAAAATAAACGGAAGAGTCTACCCAGCCCCCATATGGCCATGACCATTTTAATTTTCACCCCTGTCCCTCCACACCGCTGCACCCACTAATTGATGATGAGGATGGTTTTTTAAGTTCACGTTTGCTTATTTGTTTGCAGGGTATTTATTCTATTTGTATGCGTATTTTTTCTTTGATATCTTTACAAATAAATTCTATATAGTAACTTTTTCAAAATAAAAATAACATGACATCTTATGATTGTTTGGGTTCATGAAGTCTTTCCAAGAGATACAGGGGCAAATATATTTATTGACTTACATTAAATGCTATTTCCAGGATAGATAATAAGAATAAATAGTAACCAAGTGCTTTTACATTTAAATGGGGTAAGTTTTGGAGAGTTTTTTGAGTCAACACCATCATTTAAATATTTTTATTTTTTACATAATTTGTCTAGAACACTTCAAGTAGCTTACTCAAATTTTTTATAATGATAGGCATTGGTAAATATGAAGGTTTCTGTAACAAAACCATAGAAACAAAACTCAATCGTACTTGATTTTGGTAAGCTACAAAAAGGTGGCCATAGTCTAGGATTGAAACGGTTTTTCTTTTTTCTTTTTCTTTTTTTTTTTTTTTTTTTATTAAACACAACAGCTAAATAAGGAAAATTTGTGTTAATTTTATAGGGCACAGTTTAGGTGAGAGAATGAAAGTTCAATCTAACTTGTTTTACATTGATTAATTGTATAACCAGTAATCAGGTGACATCACAATGCAAATGCTGACATCCTTTTCCAAAAGAGTTGTGGTTCTTTTTGTTTGTTAGTTTTTTTGGGTTTTTATTTTTTATGCTTTTTTAAAGGTTAAAAAGGTTTTTGTGGTTTAAATGTTGTTACATATTTTACAGCATTAGGATCTATGGAATATTTTGACAACTGCAACAGTTCAATGAAGTTGGTAATTTCTTCTTTTAATTATTTTTCATTGAACAGCTTTGGAGTTAAATTTCTACATTCTGATTTCTGGTGTATTATAAGGAAAGAAAACTTAAAATATGTCAGAAGAACATTTTAGAGAAAAGACATAGTGATTACAGTATGGCTGTAGCTAAATTATCCTTGTATAAGTTTGTTAATAACTAATTTGATGAAAAAATGTGGTGTTCTTTCTAGCTACTGATTGTATATGTGGATTGCGCATCCTTTCTTAAATAAAGTGATTTTTAGGATTCCACAGATTGTCAGCCACATTCTAATCTGCTTATAAAGTGGAGAATGAACCTGGCTTTATTCAGTTAAATAATACTCTCATACAGGTTTTCCCCCCATACTAAAATTTTAATAGTAATGTTTTGGATTTTTTGAAGGTAAAATTAAAATTTTTTATTTTTAAAACTATAGTTGTCAAATTTTTTTATTTTGAACCTGTTTTAAACTTAGAGATGTATTGTTTCTTTTGGGTGCACATCACCAATTAATACGTTTGATTTCAGATCTACAACTTACTGCTTTGTAAACTTCACTGAGGTAAAATGCAACCGTTTGGCTACTTGAACTGATCTACATTACATAGGTTTTACCTATTGACATTTGCAGTAGCTAACATGTCAGAAATAGAAGCGATGAAACAATACATCTTCTATATTCTGAATTGGCACAATGTTAAATACAGACGTAGCTAACTTTTTAGAGACTCTGAAATATGTTTTTTTATTTCAAGGTTTATTATATAACAAGTGAGATATTAAAAGTAGAGCTTTCTCTACACTAGTAAAATCTATCCAGAATGTTTGCATATACTAGAATTAAAAGATTAATTTTGCAACATAACTCATTTTTCTAACTCATATATTGGTTTAAGGTTATTTAAAAAATATAAGTAGATTGCTCTTAATTTAAAACCATACTTACTTTTTCTCTAAGGGTGAAACTTTATTTTAAGTTTTTTAAAAATATGGAATTAACATTGTCTAGCAGATTATCTGTCATGAAAGATACGGGATTTGGAGTAACTTGTATTTAAAATTCTATAACTTTGGGTTGGGTAAAGTTATACTTAAAATAAAGCATTCCCTTTGTAACTCAGATAATTTTCAACATAGGATATTAATGAAAAAATGTATATAATTTATGTAAATATTAGGTTACTTTAGAAGCATTTTCTAGATTTGAAAGTACTAATGCACAGTATATTAATTTTATGATAGTTTGAAATTTTTATATTATATTCATTTAAAACTTAAATGTGGTACCTTCATTAATGTTTTCATGTCTAATTTCTTTGTAGCAAGGAGTGAATAATGCTGAAAAATTTGACTATGTAAGTGCAATATAGAATTCAGTTTTCATGCTACATTCTTTATATCTTTATTTTTTGATACTGACACTTTTAAATTTTGGTTTATAGGTGATGCAGTTTTTGAATAAGATGGCTGGTAATGAATATGTTGGATTCAGTAATGCAACGTGAGTCTGCTTTATGACTTAGGATTTTATAATGGACCATTCCTCTTAGCTGCTTTTTATCAACCTCTCTCCTTAGTAAAAAAATATATGTGTATCTCTACATGCATACACACACACACACACATACATTCTAGAGCAGGGGTGGGCAAACTTTTTGACTTGAGGGCCACAATGGGTTCTTAAACTGGACTGGAGGGCCGGAAAAAAAGCATGGGTGGGGTGTTTGTGTGAACTAATATAAATTCAAAGTAAACATCATTACATAAAAGGGTACGGTCTTTTTTTTTGTTTTGTTTTATTCATTTCAAATGGGCCGGATCCGGTCCGAGGGTCGTAGTTTGCCCATGGCTGTTCTAGAGGCTTGGTGCCCGAAATTCCTGTGCAGGGGGCGAGGGGAGGAGTGGTGGTTCCTCAGCCTGGCCTGTGCCTGTTCCCAGTCCAGGGATGTCTGGCTGCCAGCTGGGGCCTTCCTTCATTCTGCGCCACCCCCTGGTGGTCAGTGCGTGTCATAGCGAGTGATTGAACTCCCAAGGGGACACTGCATGTTAGCCTTTTATATATATAGATATGTACATTTATATGGGTGACTTCTATTCTAAACTGTTTGAAATTACGTGAACATCATGACGCTTCACTTTTAAATAACTTCACCTGTGTATCCTAGGAATAAGGGCATTTTCCTACATAACTATAGTACCATCGACACTTAAGGACATTATTTAACACTAGAAGCCCGGTGCACAAAAATTTGTGCACTCAGGGGGGTGGGGGGAGTCCCTCAGCCCGGCCTGTGCCCTCTTGCAGTCTGGGACCCCTCGGGAGATAACGACCTGCTGGCTTAGGCCTGCTCCCGGGTGGCAGGGGGCAGGCCCAATCCCTAGGTGCAGCCCCTGGTCAGACTCAGAGCAGGGCCGATTGGGGAGTTGGGGCGCCGCCCCATCATGCACAGAGCAGGGCAGATTGGGAGGTTGCAATGCCACCCTCAGTCACGCTCAGGGTAGGGCCAATTGGGGGGTTGGGGCACCGTCCCCTGTCACACTCAAGGCAGTCGATGGGGAGGTTGCGGCGCCACCCTCTGTCACACACAGAGCAGGGCCCATCAGGGGGTTGGGGCACCGCCCTCTATCACCCACAGAGCAGGGCTGATCAGGGGGTTGGGGCGCCGCCACTCTCATACTCAGGGCAGGGCCGATGGGGAGGTTATGGCTCTACCCCATCACACACAGAGCAGGGCCCGTGGGGTGGGGGTTGGGGAGCTCCCCCCCATCAGGCACAGAGCAGGGCTGCTCAGGGGGTTGGGGCCCCACCCCCTGTCACACACAGAGCCGCAGGGCGATCGGGGTTTGGGCGCTGCCCCCTATCACGCTGATCCCGGTGCTGGGAGGCATATTACCCTTTTACTATATAGGGTAGAGGCCTGGTGCATGGGTGGGGCCGGCTGGTTTGCCCTGAAGGGTGTCCTGGATCAGGGTGGGGGTCCCCACTGGGGTGCCTGGCCAGTCTGGGTGAGGGGCTGAGGGCTGTTTTCAGGCTGGGGGTGACTGAAGTTCCCAGCCGCTCCTTTTTTTCTTTTTTTTAATTTTATTCTGGGCCAGCTTTACCTTGAGGCTTGGCTCCAGCTCTTAGGCCTCCCTCCGGTGCTGAAAGTAGGTTTCTGGCCTTTGCTTACAATGTTGCGAATGTGCTGGCTGAAGTTGGGCGGTATTTGTTACAATGTTTCTTAAACTGCCCGCTCAGAGGCCTGCAGCCACAGGCGGGGAACGTTGGTTTCCTCCGTCACTGAGGCAAGCAAGCCTCATGTTAGTTTCAAGCTGCCTGGCTGCCGGCCGCCATCTTGGCTGACAGTTAATTTGCATATCTCACTGATTAGCCAATGAAAAGGGTAGCGGTCGTACGCCAATTACCATGTTTCTCTTTTATTAGTGTAGATGTGATATTAATCAATATATAGGTGTCCCCAAATGTCCTCTAAATGCCATAAACTAATTAAGGAACTAATCATGGTCTCTTGTCTTTTAAAAGTAAAACAGTCTGCCTGCCTTAGTCTCTTGCTTTTAAAAATTTTATTAAATGACTTTTTTTTAAGCGTGCCAATCACTTATTTTCTAGAGCAGGAATTACCTAACTTTTTCTGTGAAGGACCAGGTAATAAAAATTTTAGACAAGTAGTCTCTGTTACAACTATTAGTTCTACTCTGAGTATGAACGTAGCCATATAAACAAACCTTATTTATAAAAACAGGAAGCAAGTTGGATCTAGTTCATGGGCTGTAGTGGATATTCTCTGTTTTTTATAGGCCTGGTTGTTTCCTTGTGATTAGATAAAGTTCAAACACTTTTGGCAGGAGTTCTAATTAGGTGATGCTTTTTATGTTTCAGAGGGCAAACCTTTTCAGGTTGTCTGCCTTACCAACTGTTATTCATCAGCTTCAGTAACTTTCCCAGGAAGCTTTTTATTAATTTCATCTCACCCTTCTGTGCTCTCATATTTCATTGAACTATTTCTATATCTTGTCTTTGCCCCATTGTCTCCATTAGACTCTGCCCTCCTTAAGACCTGGTAGAGTGACTTCACACTATTTCTCTTTTTTCCCATCAAGTCTGAAGATTTGCACAACTGCTCTCATTTTAGTCAAACTTCTCCCTCCAGGTCTATCATCACTACCTAAATTCAGGCTTCCTGTAATTCTCATTACAGTAGTCACCTAATAACATCACTCATCCTTTCTTTTTCCTGTTCCCAAACTGATGTCAGAACTAACCTTCTAAAATGTGGAGTTAACAAGGTAGCTTGTTTGAGAGCTTTAAGCTTTCATTTTGTTGGCAATCAAGAGCTATTACATTTCTTAGCATTTATCAGTCTTGATAATTTGGTCCTAGTCTCCTTTGTTAGTTTTTTTTTATTATTATTAACCTTTATTGTTGAGATTATTACAGAGGTCCCTACCCCCCAGAGCTCTCCTCCACCCAGTTCCCACCCCACCCAGACCCTTGCCACCCTATTGTCTGTGTCCATAGGTAATGCATACATGCATATAAGATCTTTGTTTAATCTCTTTCCCCACACCCCCTTCCCTCTGAGAATCATCAGTCAGTCAGTCAGTCAGTCATTTCCGTGCCCCTGATTCTATTCCATTCACCAGTTTATTCTGTTCATCAGATTTTTTTACTCATTTGATTTTTTTAGATTCAATTGTTGATAGATGTGTATTTGTTGCCACTTTGTTGTTCATAATTTTTATCTTTACCTTTTTCTTCTTCTTCCTCTTAAAGAATACCCTTCAGCATTTCATATAATACTGGTTTGGTAGTGATGAACTTCTTTAGCTTTTTCTTGTCTATGAAGCTCTTTATCTGATCTTCAATTCTAAATGATAGCTTTGCTGGGTGGAGTAATCTTGGTTGTAGGTTCTTGCAATTCATCACTTTGAATATTTCTTGCTACTCCCTTCTGGCCTGCATAGTTTCTGTTGAGAAATCAGCTGACAGTCGTATGGGCACTCCCCTGTAGGTAACTGGTTTTCTCTTGCTGCTTTTAAGATTTTCTCTTTGTCTTTTGCTTTTGACATTTTAAATATGTGTCTTGGTGTGGACCTCTTTGGGTTCCTCTTGTTTGGGGTTTTCTGTACTTCCTCTACTTGTAAGTCTATTTCTTTCACCAGGTAGGGGAAGTTTTCTGTCATTATTTCTTCAAATAGGTTTTCAATATCTTGCTCTCTCTCTTCTGCTGACACCCCCATAATGCGAATGTTGGTACACTTGAAGTTGTCCCAGAGACTCCTAACACTATCTTCATATTTTTTGTTTCTTTTTTTTCTTTTTGCTCTTCGGGTTGGGTGTTTTTTCCTTCCTCATATTTCAAATCATTGTTTGATTCTTGGGATCCTCTACTCTACTGTTGAATCCCTGTATATTATTCTTTATTTCACTTGATGTATGCTTAATTTCTGACTGTTTCTTTTTCTTTCTTTCTTTCTTTCTTCCTTTTTTTTTTTTTTGCCATTCTCACCAAGATCCTTGAAAGTCTTACTAAGTCCCTTGGAGGTTTCTAGAAGATTCTTGAGTAACCTTATAATCGTGGTTTTGAACTCTATATCCACTAGATTGCTTTCTTCCATTTCTTTCATTTGTGACATGTTTCTTTGTATCTGCATTTTGGCTGCTTGCTTGTGTTTGTTTCTATGTATTGGATAGAGCTGCTAAGTCTTCTTGAGTTGACAGAGTGGCCTTGTACAGTAGGTGTCCTATAGGGCCCAGTCACTCAGCCTCTCCAGTCATCTGATGTGGATACTCTAGGTGCACCCCTTTGTGGGCTGTGTGCATAGTCTTGTAGTTGAGCCTTCATTGCGCTTGGTGTCACTGGGAGGAATTGATATCCAGGCCAATTGGCTGTGAGGACCAGCTGTGACTACAGTGGGAGAGCTGCTGTGCAGGAGACACGCCTATGGAGTAGGATTTGCTTCAGTGGGGCTTTGGTGTTCACTGAGTCTGCCCCTTGAATTGTGTTGCTTGTGGATGTGTAGAGTTGTAATCTGGTATGGTCTCACACTGACCACTGGGTACACTGGCTCTTGGGTCTCCAGGGAGGTGCAAAGTCAGCCACTGCCTGGGGCCACCCAGCAGGAGCTACAGAGAGATCTACAGATTCCTCCTGTTTGTATCAGATTTGGAAGTGCCCAGACGAGGCCCCGCTGTGAAGCAAAGCAGGCTGGTGCTCGTGCTGGGTCTTCGGCCTTTTGATAGATTTGGGTCTCCCTGACCCAGCTGCAGCCTTTTTTTATTTTTTTATTTTTTATTTTTTAAATTAAATCTTTATTGTGCAGATTATTACATTTGTTCCTCTTTTTTCCCCCCATAACACCCCTCCTCCCAGTTCCCGCCCCACCCTCCACCCTCACTCCCCACCCACTGTCCTCATCCATAGGTGCACGATTTTTGTCCAGTCTCTTCCCGCATCTCCCACACCCCTTTCCCCCCCCAAGAATAGTCAGTCCATTCCCTTTCTATGTCCCTGATTCTATTATGATCACCAGATTATTTATTCACTTGATTCTTAGATTCACTTGTTGATAGATGCATGTTTGTTGTTCATAATTTGTATCTTTACCTTTTTCTTCTTCTTCCTCTTCTTAAAGGATACCTTTCAGCATTTCATATAATACTGGTTTGGTGGTGATGAACTCCTTTAGCTTTTCCTTATCTGTGAAGCTCTTTATCTGACCTTCAGTTCTGAATGATAGCTTTGCTGGATAAAGTAATCTTGGTTGTAGGTTCTTGGTATTCATCACTTTGAATATTTCTTGCCATTCCCTTCTGGCCTGCAAAGTTTCTGTTGAGAAATCAGCTGACAGTTGTATGGGTATTCCCTTGTAGGTAACTGAGTTTCTTTCTCTTGCTGCTTTTAAGATTCTCTCTTTGTCTTTTGCTCTTGGCATTTTAATTATGATGTGTCTTGGTGTGGACCTCTTTGGATTCCTTTTGTTTGGGGTTCTCTGTGCTCCCTGGACCTGTAAGTCTATTTCTTTCACCAGGTGGGGGAAGTTTTCTGTCATTATTTCTTCAAATAGGTTTTCAATATCTTGCTCTCTCTCATCTTCTGGCACCCCTATAAATCGGATGTTGGTACGCTTGAAGCTGTCCCAGAGGCTCCTTACACTATCTTCGTATTTTCGGATTCTTTTTTCATTTTGCTTTTCTGGTTGGGTGTTTTTTGCTTCTTCGCATTTCAGATCTTTGCCTTGATCCTTGCGCTCCTCTGGTCTGCTGTTGGGAGTCTGTATAGTATTCGTTATTTCAGTCCGTGTATGCTTAATTTCTAGTTGGTTCTTTATCATAACATCGAGGGTCTCATTAGTTTTCTTGAGGATCTCACTACATTTATCGGCGGCTTCTAGACAGTTCTTAAGAGACCTTAAAAGTGTGGTTCTGAACTCAATATCCTCCATTGACAGTTTTGTCCTGTTTCTTTGTCTCCGCATTTTGTTATGCTTTCTTGGTGCACCCCCTAGTGGTCTTTGTGCGCAGTCTTGTTGTAGTTAAGCCTTGATTGTTGTCGGCAGTACCAGTGGTGATTTGACCTCCAGGATAACTGGCTATGAGAGTCCGCTGTGTCTGCAGTGGGAGAGCTTCTGTGCTGGATCTCTAGGGCGGTGCTAATCTAGCGTTTTTCAGTTGATCAGCAGCCTAGCCAGGATCTCCAGCCAGGATCTCCAGCCAAGTTCTGGTCTGGATCTCCAGCGAAGTTCTGCTTAGGATCTCCAGCCAGGTTCTGTGTCCATGTTCTCTTGCTAGGTTCTCCAGCCAGATTCTCCAGGTTCTCCTAGCCAGGTTCAGTCACCAGGTTCTAGTCAAGTTCTCTTGCCAATTTCTGTAGTCAGGTTCAGTCCAGGATCTTTTGCCATGTTCTCTCCCTAGGTTCTGTCTCTAGGTTCTGAGGCCAGTTTCTGTCCAGGATCTTTTGCCATGTTCTCTCCACTGAAGTTCTTCTGTCTCTAGAGAACGTTCTGTGTAGGTTCTGTGCCTAGGTTCTGTCTCTCTTGGTTCCGTATTCTAAGTTCTGTGTCTGCTGTCTTGTTACATCTGTATTTATACCAGTTGATTCAATCCTATCAATCTCTATTTCAAAGGTTAGGGCGTTTCTTATCTCCATTCCAGGGAGTAAAGATTATGTAGCTTAAGCATGATTGTTCGTAGTTAAAGTGATTAATTACCCACCTGGCACTTAGTTAAGAGGTTTTATTCCCTCCCTAACTTCAGGGGAAAATCCCTACCTGGGGAAACAACCTTTCTCAGAGACCTTGGTTAAAACACATAGTGCCAAGAAGGTGAGCAAACATATTAAGAACAGTATGCCATATATGCCAGGTCCCTTGAAACAGCAAGCATGGACCGGCTCCCGGCACTGAGGCTATCCGGCAAATGGCTCTGTGCAGGGCTTGTCCGGGGCGGGTCGCCAGGGGATCTACAGGGCGGGCCGGAGCGAGCAGTTATGGCCCAGCTGCAGCTTTTTGACAGGTTTTTAGCCTGAGAAAGGACAGGCCCTTCATATGCAAAAGCTGTTCCCACAGCTTGGGTGGGGTTGTAAATTGGGTGGGGTGGGGTCTCAGGGAATCACCAGGCAGAGCAAACAGAAATGGCTGCCAGTCAGCCCTGCAACCAGAGAGGTCCCAGCACAGGAACAAAACGGCTCAGAGCACCTCCATCTGGAAGAAAGCCGCCCCCACATTCCTGCCTCGATGCCAGACAGTTCAGTTTCTCCCCATATGGGTCTGGGTTCCCCAGAGTCTCACCCAGCACTGGAGCTCAGAGCAAGTGGGAGATTGTAATTGTAAGCTCAGTTCAGGGTGCCAGCCTTTTAACCAGCCTGTAGTTCTTACTGCCCGTAGGGACTTCTGTCCCCAGCTCTTGGACCCTGGGCTGGGCTTCTGGTGTTGGGCTGGGACCCCTTGCTCCTCCCGGTGGCCTCCACAGAAGCTAGCTCCCTCCCAAGTGCAGCCCACATGGGTGCCGGACCAGCCCGTCCTGCACCTGCTCACCTCCTCCCAGTCTCAGTGTGCTCCCTGCTTTACTTTCCTAGTTGTAGGACTTCCATTCAGCCAGCTTTCCAGCAGTTCTGGTGATGGTTCTGTAGTTTTCTTGTCATTTTGGTGTGGTTGGGGGAGGCGGTGAATACAGGCATTTGCCTACACAGCCATCTTGGTTCTCTCCTCCTTTGTTAGTTTGATGTTTCTCTACTCTTCTTCATAAATCCCATTTCCCAGATACGTCAGAATATTTGCTATTTTTCAATGAAATGCCGTATTTTATACCTTTACAACTTTGTTCGTGCTACTGCCTGGGCTTCCACCTGAAATCTGTTAATCCAGTGAATGCTGTAATTTCATGTGTCCCCACCTCAGTGCAATGTCCATGTATTCCCTTAGTTAGAATTGACTATTGTACTTTTGAGAGAGCTAGAAAATTGTGCATTTTAATGGTGGAATTTTGGGTAATTAGCTTCTTTATTAAAAACAATAGGAGGATTAGAAAGGGCCTAGTTCCGTGGTCGGCAAACTGTGGCTCGCTAGCCACATGCGGCTCTTTGACCCCTTGAGTGTGGCTCTTCCACAAAATACCACATGCGGGCACGCACGTACAGTGTGATTGAAACTTCGTGGCCCATGTGCAGAAGTCGGTATTTTGTGGAAGAGCCACACTCAAGGGGCCAAAGAGCCGCATGTGGCTCGCCAGCTGCAGTTTGTTGCCGACCACTGGCCTACTTTATTTTAACCTTTTTACACTGAGAAATTTAAGATGGAAAGAGGTGTCACTGAAATGACTTGCCTAAGGCCACATGGCTAGCAGGCCTATCGACAGAACTGGGACTGGGACCCAGCAGTCTTGACCATGAGGTCCGTGTTCTTTGTACTGCACTTGCACATACAGATTAAGCTACACAGCCATACTTTTACAGAAAATAAAGCAAATGTTATTTTTTCTTCTAGGTTTCAGTCTGAAAGAGAAAGTGGAGATCGAAATTTTGCAATAGGATATTACTTAAAAGAAAAAAAGGTTTTTAACTTTTGTTCTATTTCAAGTTATTCTTTTATTTAATAAAATATATGAAGATACATGCTAAGAATTCAACAGTCGATTTTAAACAGTTACCTACTATTTAAGATTTAGAAGTTTTTGCAAAATAACCTTGAGTTATGCTATCAAAGTGTTCATGTTATTAAATTGATTTGTATCTGGCAGTATTCAAATATTTGACTAGTTATGTTAATGCAAATTTTGTGAAAGGATTCACCCATTTACTCAAATAAATGCCTTACTATTGTTGATTACACTTGATTTTTTAAATTTTAAGAGGCTGGTCCAGTAACTTGGCTTATGAATTATGAATCAGTTTATCTTTGTCATTTAAACTAGAATCTAGAAGTCTATATGTGATGTTATTTTGTTTTATTGTTCTTTGTGATTTCATGTTTATACCCTTTCTTAGGTTATGTGCTATTTTGTTCTCAATTAAAATAAAACATCAATGTACATTTTTAAAATTTAATCTTATATCTGCATTTCCCCCCCCCTGTGTTTCTATGTTTTTAATTGCCTTTCTTTTTTTTTCAGTGTTTTCCAGAAGGCACAGACATGGTTGGTATATTAGACTTCTATTTCCAGGTAATTTACTTTAAATATATGAATTGTGTATACAAATAAATGCGTGTATCATTTAGCACAATATAAAAATCTCTGAAATCTTGTCTGTGAGCCAAGAGAAAATACATTTCCCACTGACATTTGAAACAATATACTCATGAAAGACACTCTCATGTGTGTATCTCCTAAAAAGTCATGACTCGGGATGTATCAGGGAATATTTATTTCTGTAAACACATTCTATTTAAGAAGTGTCAGGAACAATTGACAGCTTCTTGTTATAAACGGACCTCTGTTTTCTTAGCTTTTACATTTTGTTTGGAGGAGTTAATGATGGTTCATAGTCACTTGCAGTTTCTCAGTTCGCTTCTGCAGTCACATAGTGGGTTTTCTTTTAAGGTAGAACAGCAAGCTCCACTCTCTTCAGACTCATCATCTATTGTGGTATAGACTCAATTAAAGATAGTATTCCTGGACATCCCTCCCCCCATACTTTCAGCTCATTCATTTTTATCACTTTAATACCATTAGCGCCTCTGATGGGTCTGTAATGTGAAGCTACATAGTAACATCGATCAGCTGCCTCCTGCACATCTCCCACTGGGGATGTGCCCACAACCCAGGTACATGCCCTTGACCGGAATCGAACCTGGGACCTTTCAGTCCGCCGGCCGACGCTCTATCCACTGAGCCAAACCAGTTTTGGCAGGGCTGTAGAATATTTTTGACCTAACTTTCTGCATTGAAAATACCATGAGACTATTGGTGTGAAGTTTATTATTTAATATCATATTTACTTTTATCCAGCAGCCCTTATTTTTTCCCCTAGCCCATATGAATTTCTTGTATGTGTAAGTTCTTTTCCTTTGGTATACATATTTAACTTTGGCTATTACATGCTACTAAATCTGTGACATTTCTACACTTCAGTGCAGAAACCAAGAGACAGCCACAGAAGTACTACTTTTTGTAGAAGGGCTGCATCTAATTAAACATTCATCAGGGTATCAGGAAAGTACTCTTAAATTAGGATATGTCATATTAGGAGTGTATTACCTTATGACACACAAAACTCATTAATACTAAGTATAAATTAAGAAATGATTGTTAGAATTTAAATTTCATTTATTTTAGAAAGGTTTTCATGATTACATCAACCTTTGTCTTTGCTGAATGGGTCAGTATAGTAACTATGGATTCTGTAGTTTTGGGGGAATTGGGAAGAGGTTTTAATATAAATAGGCAAAAGTGCAAGTCAGTAAAAAAGTGGCTTCCAGTCATTGCAGTTAATTAGTCTTTCTTTTTGCTGTCTTCAAACCCCTTTGCGCTTCTTGTATGTAGATCTTGAGGTGTGAGTGAGAAAGTTTCTAAGTCAGAGAACTCAGTTTTTTTTCTTTCTCTTCTCCAGGCCCTATTTCTCCTCTACTTTTCACCCATTTCGTTTGCTGTTAATTAAAAATTAAATAGGCCATATTTATTGTTTTAGTTTTATGGGTAAATTTGGGTTTGGTATAGTAAACTTTTTCCATTAGTTTGATTATATTTAACTACAAACATTTTATTGTACATTGTAACTGGGCTTTGCTTTTCTACATTCAGCACCCAGGGTCAATAGTAAATAAATATTTGAATGTTAGGAGAAGGTTAAAAGAAGGCACTTTGCTTTAGGCACACATGTATCCAGGCTAGAGCTGCCTTAGATTTTTCTTCACTGAGTCCTTTGCATGTTGCCATATGGGGATGCTGAGCTTTGTTATAGGCGAAATGTCAGGCAATTAGCATTTTTTCTCTAAAGTGACAATTTCTCATGTAGATGTACCTGTTATACTGCTTTATCTAAAAAATATCTCATGTCTCCTTTTTTCCTATTGAGTTAATAATTATGTTGGTGTATCTTAGAGAAAGCATTAAATATTAAGCAGTTCTGAATATTACATGGAGCAATTACGAATACAGTGGGGCCTTGACTTACGAATGTCCCGACTAACGAGTTTTTCGAGATACGAGCCGTCTCTGCCGATTTTTTGCTTTGTTGCTTTGAGTTGCGAGCTAAAATTTGGGTTACGAGCCAACTTCAGATACCCCACTGCTAGTTGGCGCAGTGATCGCCACATCAGCCCAGCATTCAATTCATTGTAATGGTGAAAATTGATTTGACATACGAGTAATTTGAGTTACGAGCTCCGTCACAGAACGAATTAAACTCATAAGTTAAGGCCCCACTGTACTAGTGCGTAGGGCCTGGCTGTTCCTAGCCTAGTTCTGCCATTAAAAGACTGAATAACTGGGAAAATCAGAATAAACCTTAAAGGGGCTAGAACTTTGGTCAAATTAAAATCTTTAGAATGTCAAGTTATATTAAAATGACCCCTTTGGGATCATTTCAGATCTGTATGAAAAGCCAGATAAAATAGATCATCTTAGAAATCAAATGCAATACTAAAAATAACGTGAGCCTAGATTTTCAGAATTGGTTTTTTGCTTCCTTTTAGTTATGCTCCATTGAAGTAACGTGTGAATCAGCTAGTGTGATGGCTGCAACACTGGCTAATGGCGGTTTCTGCCCAATTACTGGTGAAAGAGTACTGAGCCCAGAAGCGGTGCGAAACACTCTGAGTCTGATGCATTCCTGTGGCATGTATGACTTCTCAGGGCAGTTTGCTTTCCATGTAAGTTATTGTTTAATCTTAATTTTCTCTGTCAAGAAGCTAGTCTGGACTAGTTCTTTTAAAACTGCAGTTTGAACTTTCCTTCTTTAATTGTACGTTAATTTTTGAGAGAGAAGCTTGTTTTCAAGGTTAATTTGTTACAGAATTGGTAAGAAATAGAGTTACTGTTAAGCAGTCTATCAGATGTTCTTAAGAACCTGAAGTTTTATTTATAGAACCTCATCACTTCTTTTAAGGCATTCCAGTATACAAGGTTAGTATAGACTACTTTCATTGTTAATGTTTAAGTTCAGAAATAGTGCATAATTGTGATGTTTAACATTTTTTGGTTAAATCCACAGATATTTTAAAGGACATAAAGTATATTAAAGTTAAAACTTAAAAATCTACTGCTTTAAATTCTGTTGTGCATGTGCCACTTGTAAAATGTGTAGACTTTTTATTTCAGTCTGTTTATGTCAATAAGCAAATGCCCTAAAATGATTATTTTATTTTAAAACAGAAAAACAGACTTATTTAATGTTAATGCATCACTCAACTTTAATACTTACCAATACATGACCAATTTTGTTTCATCTGTATGTATACCTGCTTCTTCCATCCTTGTCATAGTTCCGTCAGTAATTCTAAATGATAGCAGCTCTTAAACCCACAGCATCTTTCTTACATAAAAAAACAAAAAACCTTAATCCTTAATATCAAAATATTTCATTACTATTCAGGTCATCTGGACTGTCTTATAAATTATTATTTTTTCTTTGACTTGGGCTGCAAATAGTGCCTTACAATTATGATTGGTTGTATCTCCCTCTATTTTTCTTCTTTAATCTATAGTCTCCCGCCCTGCCTTGTCTTTTTTTCTTGTTATTTTGGGTTGAAAAAACTGGGTCATTTATCCTGTTCAGTTTCTCACAATCTAGATTTGCTGATGCTCTCACTGTCTGTTGTATTCCTTGTGACTTGGTAGATCCCATTCAGGTGAATTTTTTGTTTAACTTAGTTTTATACAAGATTACTTGTAGCAAGAGGAACTCATTGTTTGAACGTTAGTAAGCGATTAATTTTGTCTTTTATCATAATTATTATCAAGTTTTGCATAATGTAAAGGTAAATGTCTTGAAGAGGATTAACTTGAATTATCATCTTATCTCTATTCCTCAAAATTTCTCTGACATTATACCACAGAGAATCTTTTAAGAAGATAGAAATTCTCATTTTTCTAGTCAAAATATTTGTTGAAAATCATTTTTACACTTAAGCAGTACATGTTTATTATAAAAACAATTAGAAAATGTAGGCAGAAAGAATAAAATAAAAACATAAGCCCACAAATTAGAATATCTTTGAAATTTTTCTACATTTAAATACATCCCAACTGTTTTATATCTGTCTTTTACCATATTATAAGCATGTTGGTAAATGCCCACAACATTTTTAAAGTTGGAATTCTGTATAGAAATAAATACACCATGACTTTTAAGCCATTTATCTTATTGTTGGACATAATAACTTATCTTATTTTAAAATGTTAACATAAATGGTCCTTTTTTCAAATTACTTTCAGGTTGGTCTTCCTGCAAAATCCGGAGTTGCTGGGGGCATTCTTTTAGTTGTCCCAAATGTCATGGGCATGATGTGCTGGTCACCCCCTCTGGACAAGATGGGCAACAGTGTGAAGGGAATTCACTTCTGTCACGTAAGCATGTGTTCTCAACGGAAATAATGATCATATAACTTGAGCCATCTTATGATTCTATTTTTTATCTTTTTATTTTTTTTACTCGTTTTCATAGTTCATTGCTTGTTGGCACTCTGCCTGCCTGTCTGCCAGTTACTAGGTAGCCATGGGAGCACTCATAGAGGGCTCTCCTAGAACCATCCTCGCAGAAAATTAATTTTCTTTGATGCTTGTATTTTACTATTTATGGTTGTAATTACTTTTTGGTTTCCAAAAGCTCAGCAAAACATACCAACTTGGAGAAATAATTTGAAATCCAATATAAATTAAGATTATTATAGTGTATTGTATCATCTTTAATCTTGCATGGTTGAATAACTTTATCCATAAAAGTTTTTGTTTTTTTTTTAGGAAACAGGCACTGCAATTTAAAATTATTACACTTCTTGACTAGTTCAGTGTTTTATGTTGTGACCCAACTCTTGCTAATATTTTAGCTTCCAGCTTATTTACAGTTATTACTTCCCAGGGTCTTCATTTTTTTCTCCAGACTTTATTAATTAAAACTCTGATTTATCTTCAGTTTCTTATTTTCTATAAAAATTAGAGAATGATACGAGATTGCTTGCAGATTATAACAGACTGTAATCAGAATATGTATTTGTATTTTTGTGGTGTTTTATTTTATGGCTATTTGAAAGAATTCTTTCATATGGCCTGTTATTATAATGCTCACTTTATAGGAAATGAAACTTAAGCAAGTTGAGTCGCTGAGCCCTGTGATCATGCTAGTAAGCAGTGATCTCAAAATGTGTATTCATATCCTTTTCTTCTATTGCAGTCCTCTTTTTGATGGATCGTGTTGCTTTAGTAACATGCAGAAGTGCTTTGTAGGAGATAGTAGTTAAATTGGGCTGCATTCGTATAATTTATTCAGTTATGAAGAAACAATAGTTAGTGAATAGCTAATTTCTTATACCTGGCTCTGTTTATTTACAGGATCTTGTTTCTCTGTGTAATTTCCATAACTATGATAATTTGAGACACTTTGCAAAAAAACTTGATCCTCGAAGAGAAGGTGGCGATCAAAGGGTAAGCTAAATTCTTATTTAGAGTGTTATGCAATATTTTTTTAAGAGAGAAAATGAGACTCACCAGTTTAAATAAAATTTAGTGTAATTGGTAATGGCCTCATATCTGTACTGATCGCAAATGAGTGTAAAACAAATTGTTCACATTTTTATCCTGGGCCAGTACTTCATAGATATTAAGTATTGATGTTTTAATTAAATTGAAACTGGTTAGCCTAACAGCGGGGTTTCCTCTCTTCCCATTTTTTGCTATTTTAAGCAATATTTTAAAGAATTGATTCTGCCAAGACACGTTAGAAAGCGCTACAGGCTGTAAGAAGAAAGCCTGTTTTTACTCTTAATACTTGTCTAGAATTTTATAGTCTTGGAATGAAGTTTACTTTGACGTGGATGGATATGTAAATAGGAAGGGATTATGGTATTACAGTATTAGTGAGACACCATACAAAGCCTCATAAGTTTTATAACCCACTATTGTTGAAATATTTTTCTACAAAAAGTGTTTAATGCAGTATCCCTGATACTCGTACTATTTTTTTTATTAGTGTGCTTGGCTTCATATTACACAAGCACTAGTTGTTTAGAGTTAGTATTAGGAATCAGGACTTAAATTTCAGGAACAGGATTTTTTTTGTTTTCATTGTTGTTCACTGAACTAAGGAACTTGTTTTGTTTTGAGTTTTAATTAAATTCCTTTGCAACCATATGGAAAATGTATGTAATAAAATTACCTAATTAGACTTGAAGCTTATATGAAGCACTTATAGGTAGAAAGAAAATCCTTTAATGCATAAACTAAGTAAGTTTTCATGTCATTAGTTGCAATCAAAGTCACTTATAATAACATATGAAAATTAGAGCCAGCACAGTAGGCACTCCCATGAGAGTCAACATGAATAACATGGAGCTAACATCAAATGGTGGTGGGTGAAAATGTGAGCAGATTTTAATAACATTCACTGAAAAATACCATTTTATAGCTCGGACCTTTCTTCACTCAAGTGCACTAATAAATTATGTATGTTGCTTGAACAACTAGCATTCCTTGGGACCCTTGGACTGTGAAAGTCTCCAACAAGAACTTGCTTTAAAAGAGACAGTGTGGAAAAAAGTGTCACCTGAGTCAAATGAGGACACCTCTACAACTGTAGTTTATAGAATGGAGAGTCTGGGCGAGAAAAGCTAAAGCAGTGGGCGCTAGTTTCAGAGTGTTCTTCATTTACCTTTCACACATCTTTAGTGTTTTTGCATAATATAAATATTTATATAAGTTTTTTGTGTTCTCAACCTTTGCTGCTAAGCCATAAAACTTTTTCTCCTTTTAGTCTTTGTGTAAAGGTAGATTTGTCGGTTTTTAAAAAGTATTTATAAGTAAGTAAAGCAAATTTGCTTTATTTTAAAAAATGCTAAAAGGATTTAAAGTTTTTCCTGGTATAATTAAAAAACTGAATTATGGAGTCAGGTAACCCCATTTAAAATAGTAATCGAAATTCGTAATTCTTTGGTTCTAAAACCCACACATTGAACCTATCAGTTTCATTACATTCTGTTTCTTCTTTTCCAGTTTTAAAGTGGACATGTCTTTAGTGGCAATAAAAAGTATTTCTGAGCTAAAAAGAAAACTTAAAAAGGTAAAATAATGAATCCCAAATTATTTAATATAGCAGATTATAAAATTAGCTTATGTTTACATGTCATGCCATTTTTAGTGATAGATTGATTGGCTTTAAATTTTAAAAAATCCATTTAAAATTTTACCAAACGCTCTATAAGTCGTGTCTTTGCCTTTTTACTTTGCAACTCCTATGTTCTGTCAGAATTGTCATATACAGGAATGTCTTATGTTACTAAAACATTCCAGCCAAAGAATTTCAGGTACAAGATAGTGACATGTTCTCTGCTAAGAAGCTATGGTCACCAGAAGGAGCAGAGTGTCTTCAAGTGAAATGTTTACCTGATTATTTTCTATTATGCACGTAGCCTTTTCTGTTATATTTAAATAAAATTGGTGAATCTTGGTTTTAGCTTTTAGTAATTTTGTTCCAATGGTTTTACAAATGCTAATGAATCTTTTATGACAAATTATAGCATCTCATAAAGTTTGTTCTATGGGAACTCTTTTAGAGTACTTAGGAAATTGAGTCTGAAGGTAGTGAGTGTTCTACTAAAACACCTGTTAGATATGAATCCTTTTGTTTGGTTATAAAAATGGAATATTGAGAATCAAAACTTGTTTTTAAGAGAAGAACTATATGTTCTACACAATCTGATTTCAGAGAATTAAAAGTATTTAAAGTCTGTCTTGGCAAAGTGATTATAAAATTCTGTAGGACCTATTCACTCTTCCTCCTTCCTCCATGCATCTCTAATCTCCCCACAGTTTCTCAGCTTCCAGGTGCTTTTTGTTAATTCATTTTTAAACTTGTAGATTTTGGAGGTGCAGGGGTGGGATCCTAGAAAGAGAACTTGATAGTTTCTTGTGTCATGGCGTATTTGTGGTAGGTAAAGTCTAATAAAAGTAAATACAGGATAGCGAGAAATATTTCACTGGGTCATTTAGATACCAATGCAAACATAGATGTAAAAATTCCTGATCATATGATTTTCCTGATCATTAGGAAAAGATGTTTCCTCCCAAAGGTGTTCAGAAGCCTTTTGATCTAACATAAGTATTAAAACTTTTCTATTTAAATAATTATGTTAATGTGAGGTTTTAGAGGATTTTACCAAGGACTTTATGGTTATTTGAATGTTCCTCTAATGTACAGATGTATATTCTAACTGGATGCTTCTGGTGTGGCCGTCCACAGGAGAGGAGTGTGTGTGGAGGCCTCACCTCTGCTAGACCCGGGGACAGTATACGTTCAGAGCCATTTGTGGTTTGGGGAACTGAATGCCTTAGTTGACAGTTTGCAAAAAAGGCGTTATTTCCCCCCCGCCCCCTCGTGTCTTAAATTCTTACATTTTACTATTTTATTTGTAGGTTAGTTTTACTTTATAAATGAAAATTTAATGTTTCATATTGTATTCATATTTGTATAGATTTCAAAATTGTTAATCTGTGGCACCTTTTTATGTTGGTAAGGCTAACTGCACACTTACCAGCGGAGTAGGGCACTGTAAGCTACTGTATTTATAGCCTCTGGTTAAGGAGGGGCATCCAGAGATGTATAGGAAGGCACAGAAGGAAGACAGGGAGGTATTGTGAATAGGCCCTCCAACTTTACTTTGCAAAAAAGGGAGAAAACTTTGCCAGATTTAACAACATTATTTTAATCCCTTCAGTGTTTTTAACACCTTTTCAAATACAGTTCTTGAAAAGTACCCAGTATTGTTGGATTTAATGTTTCATGCCATTACTGATTCTTGATATTCAAGCACTTAGAAGTCAACGTATTTGTTTTTCTTTTCATTCATCATTAACATTTCATTTGAAATGTATATCTTTCTTGAAATACTTTATTTTTAGCATAAATGTTGTGCATTTTAATCTTCATGTTTGGATTAAAACATTTGTGTTATTTAGCTTTCTTTCATTTGCTTTGTATATTTAATAATGTATCTTTTATTTTCTAGTATGCCTACTTTTTGTATTGTACAATAAATTTATTTTAAGCGGATTTTATTGGGGTTTTTTTTTTTTTTTTTTAATGACAGCAATTCCAGCATTTATATATAACAAATATTTAGAACTTTAACTTTAAAAAATTATCCTTTATGAAGATACTATTAAAATGCTTTATATTCTTAATTATTTCTGAGGCTGCTGTGAAGAAAAAATTAGAAATACTCCTAAGGGATTCTTCCTTATTTTCTTTCTTTTCTTTTTTTATAATGCAGTGTAGCATTAGTGGGGGTTTTTTCCTATTAGTTGTACTAAGAGTATTTGAATAAAGACTTTTTTCCTAGTTCTTGGTTTTGTTTTGTTTTTTATTTTTATTTGACAGCCTAAAAAAAACAAAACACTACCCTATTTTTTGCAGGTCTTTCTGGTATTTGAGGAGGAATATCACTGTTGTTATTGAATATATAATCTGTTATCTAGAGTTAAAAAAAATTGCTAAATCAAATGAAGATAATCTCAGTAGAACTTATATTGTGAAATAACTATAAATATAGGAATTTACCTTAGCTATTTTCAAGGAATTCAGTTTTCAGAAGGAACTTAGTATATTTCCATAGCACAGTTAAAATTATAACAAGTTTCCGTGCATTGTGGATCAAATACAGCACTTAAAATTTTCCTGTTTGATGAAATTTGCCATTCATGTAACAGCTTATGATCACTTGTTCTAAAAGATCCCTTGTTTTTTGTTGGTGTGTTTAACTCATTTGATGCACAGGAAATGGTAACCCAAAGAGCTTAATTGTCTTGGCTCACAATGTGGTGTCCCATAGGCATGTATGTCTGTGGAAAGAATCACTGATATAGACTGATACGTCAATCTGTATCATGATAATCTATATAAGATGTATGTGTTATACGTGCAAGTGTTTATGTGTCTATCTATATCAACGTCTATCTTGCCAGCCATCTCTCCACATTCTGAAAACCAGCAGCAGTTCTTTCCACATAGTTTGTTATGCATAAATGATTCATTGAGCTATTCCGATTCCAAGTTTTGTCATAAAAGAAGCTCTAATATTTTTGCTGCCCCAGAATTTATTTATTGTTCAGTGTAACGTGAAGGATATGTGGTTTCTGCTGTTCCCATGCACTGCCATGCTATCGGGGTGAGAGAGCCACCCGTATCAGGCAAGTCCACAGCAGGGAGCAGGGCCATCAGCGTGCAGCGGAAGTGACTGCCAGCCTCCAGCACTTGTTATATAGGAAGGTTGCTTTCAACCTAAACAGTGCGCTGCTCAGTTTCAGCAAGTACTTTAGTTGATTCTAAAAGTTATGCACTATTTTTAGTTTTAAGAATCTGCTTTACTGTTCATTTGTAAAAATTTTGTTTTTTCTCCTAGGAAATGCTAGAATGCTTTTTTTTTTAAACAAAG